CCTTCTCACAACAAGAAGGGTACTGCTTATAACTAATCTTCATCTGAAGTAGGTAAATCAAAATCTCAACATTTTCTCAAACCAAGACAACTCAAACAGGCCTGAATATCATTCAGCCAGTTCTGGATAATAGATGATTGCTCACCTGAGGAGTTTAAAAGCAACAACAAAGCTAAACAGCAACAACAATAAAAAAAAAAAATATCACCATAGATTAACTGTGTGGGTAAATTATGGTACCGAAAGCACTCTGGAAGCAGGTCTCTTTACCAGTGTTTTGGAAGGCTGGAACCAACCCAGAGCCTCTTGGTGCTTGGAAAGTTTTGACCATAACAACTGTGTCATTTCAAAACTTTGCACGTTAAGCTTAAGAAATGTTTTTCTGAAATTCTGTGTAACTCAGAAACCAAATCCTTCTTTCCTCCCCAAAAATATAGCTAGATTTTGAAAAATAGATCTGGCTACAAAACAGACTAACCATCCTCCAGGAAATTCCAAGTGTTCAAGATTTTATTACATTCCAAATTGGAACAACACCTTAAACCCCAGAACTTAATGAGAATGGGAATATTCTGATTTGGGAATATACTAGAGCAGCCAGGCCTCTCCATCTACGGAGACAACTCATGGGGAAAGGGACACAGCCAGCTGACAGCGGGTGGGGAGGATGGAAATCTGGATCCAGGCTCCCAAAGGAAAGCCTTACTGGGTGCCAGAAGGACACACACAAGGCAGCTGAGGGAGTCAGGAACGGCAGGTTTCTGTGACCGAACGGGGCACATGGTCTGGAGGGCTGTGGTGCCCACGCTCCCTGCCAGACCAGCTGCCAAGGGTCTGCAAAGCTTGAGGCCACGGAGACCATGGTGAGCTTTCTGCCGGGGAGCAGGTCCCCTGGCTCGCCTGCTGAGTGGTCCCGGGCTCTGGAGCTGCCTGTGCCATCCAGCCAAGTGCCAGACAGAAGCCTGTGGAGCGGCTCGAGGCGCGCCTTCCGTCGGCATTTAGCCAGGATTCTCTCGCTCTTCAGAGGTCCGAACTTTCCAATAGGAAAGGTGTCCTGTTAGAACACCTGCTGAAAAGTCTCTAGCTCTGAAGGAAGAAGAAAACCCTCTGTTAAAACACACAGAGTCATCGAACGGTTGCTGTCTGGCAGGAATTACTCTCAGGCTTCAGCTAGCACTGGGTTCTTGGGCTAATTACGTCACTCAGAAATTAACACAAATTAGTAACCAAGTACTGGCAGTGTTAAATTAAAAAGTCAAACAAAACTATGGCCCAAACATTAGAGACATTGTAAAGCAGCGCTGTTGCTTCTTGCTGCTTTGAGATCTTAGTAAAACTAAGATCTCAAAACATTATTGGCAATCTGAAGTGTTCCAAGATCTTGAGCTGGGCTCTCCAAAAAAAATTTTGACTAAAAATCAGAACAGTTTAAAAAACAACATTTGGCCTCCGTTTTGTTTGCCTTCTAATTTTGGAACTTGTAGTGCTCATGGTTTCAGATTTTGCCTGGAAATCTGAGAGCTGGAAGTTTACGTTTTGAAGAAATGAAAGCTGGCATTTTTGTCATCACATGACTCCAAGAACTGGGGCTTGAGGAAAAAACATAAAACGTTGTCAGGTTTTCTACAAAATTGTGAGATTAGCAGCATCGGTTTTATCACAATTTAGGCTGCAAGGTTGACCTATTTTATCAACAGTGCCCTACTGAATATGAATTGCTTTATGAATTTTAACAACCATATTTCATTTTAAATATAGTTCCATTAAAGTGACATTCGTCACTGAGCTTCAAAGCAAACTATTCAATTGTCAATCCAGGCTAGACTTTTTCTCTGAGCAAGTGGAAAGTGTAACCTGCCCCACCCGACAAAACTCTGGTCTCAGAGACACCCCTCAAAGCAGAACACCACATATGCTCATTGCCTGTCCTGCGGGCTAGCTCAGCACCACGAAAAAGGAGCATCTACCCATCAAGTGTCTTTCACTCTCTGCCCATGTGATGGGACACCTGTAGAGTCCCCGACTTCGACGTTTTGTAGAGCAAGGACACCAGGAAGGAGGTCATGCCCTCACGAAAGAAGACGGGGAGGTGACGGTGAGAGTTCCTCTGAGGCCCTGAAGGATAAAGCTAGATTTAGTCCAAGAACTTGCTGAGCCATACTTGGTGTCTGCAGGCTCCTTCCTCAGCCTATTCTACAGCTGCAGATCACTACAGAGCTGTTCTGAAACACAACCTGGGATCTTTGGGGCTGCTGCTGCACAAGAGTTAACAGGACAGAACACACATTCCAGTTTCATCTCTGGGAAAATAGCAAGACTGAGGTGTGCAGGGGAGAAGACCTCAAATACTGAGCAGGCAGAAACTGGTAAAGTGAAAACCTTCTCAATACACATACACACGCAGATTAAATAGAACAGAAAGCGGTGTGCATGGGAGGATGCATTCCAAAGTGGCACAAAAATAAGATGGGGGAAGGTTTAGTTAATTATTCAGAGAAACTCAAACCTCTTCACAAATGAGGTCTAGAATATCCTGAAAAGTAGAAAGAAAAATATTATAAACATTTGCCTAAACACAAAATCCTGTCTTGATCACATTTTAGTACTTTGAGGTCATACAGATTCTTAAATTTAATAGAATCTACAACTTTTCTCCAGTTTAGCATTATCTCTTTCCTTAACTCTCTCTATGAAGACAAGCTGTTTGTCTTCTGTGTTAGTGACACCTCCTTACAGTTAATTCAGAAGAGATGGACTTGAAAAAGACATAACGTCGATTAGAGACTCGAGGGCCAGGTACATTTTTCTAAGCTCGGGTAGCTACCGCATCTTTCTTCAGCATCACAGAAGTGGCTAGTTTAACGGAATTGTAGTTATGCTCAGCATTTGCAGTCCACTAAGGAGGAGAGACACGTTGCAGTCTCTCCCTGCTCATGTACTGTGTGTGTTATCGGTGCTTGTGTGCTGGGGTAAGGAGAGAGGGAACTGCTTCCAAGTCAGCACACTTAGAGAAAGGAGTCATAAATCACCAGGTCAGTCAGGTTGTGCTTTTTTTTAACCTTAGGGTATTATGTTTTCAATACAATATTTCAATAGCTTCTTTCTGTGTAATAATTTATCTGGAATTATGGCAACCCTTACAAGCTTAGAAAAAATTGGCTCAAGTAAAACGAATCCTTTGTCATAAACAGGTTGTGTTCATAACTGCAGCCTAATCATTCAATTGCACATAAGTCAAATAGTTATCCAGACTTTGTAGGAATATTTCCCTGTCAATAAATCTAATGCTATTTAAAAACTCCAGGCCAATGTGACAGAAGCCTGTTAGATTAATTAGGGCAAGGTCGGAAAAGCTGAACTCACAGCTACATTCATGTCACAGTTTTGTTCCACCTATCGTAACCTGATTGTAAACTCACAGACCGTTTTAAACACGGGCATGTTAGGGTGACTTCATTGTCTCCATTTATATACAAAGGCAGATTTCTTCAGGAATTGCTTCTTCTCTCTGACAACAGTCAACTAACCATGCAACTGAGAAGAAACATTTTGCTTTGTATTCAATGTCAATAAGGGGTTTTTAATTTTTAAATGTTTCTCCCTATTAGTGACTTCACAGTGACTGGACTGCAACCAGGGTTCACAAGACTACAAGACCATATGGACTGTGGAACTGCCAAGAGGCAGGCTGTATAACCAAAATTTCACTACAAACAGATCATCTCTGTGGGAATGAGAGGACAGTGCTGTCTCTCAGCCTGTTCCATTCTTGACCTTTATCCTGTGACCATCCAAAAGGAGGGTGCCCCAAATCTGATGGGTTTTGTGCGAAGCGGATCCTGGAGGTGAAATTCTGACCTTGGCAGGGTCAATATTTCATCCGAAATCCCTTGAGACAGGCCTCCAAATCATTTCTTAGGCTTGCAGCTTGTATCAGATGGTAGCTAGCTGACTTTCATTTACTACTGACTCAGGTCAAACTTGGACCAGGGATCAAGAGATGAAAGGCTCTATATCTCATTATCAATAATCAGTGTTCTCCACTACCCTAAAAAACGACATACTTCATTCTTATCTACAAGGCCTTAAAACTTAAAAGGCTTGGGGTCAAATTATGTTACTTCAATTTATTTTTATTCACTGCTTATAAAACAACTTCCTCTCTCACTGCCATAGCTAGATGTCGAAAATGCAAATACTGTCCTTGCTATTGTGGAAGCTCTACTATTGTTTTTCTTTTAAAGTCTTATTAAAGATACATCAATAAAGAAAAATCCCTCCCACACAAATTTAAAGAAGAATAAAAAAATACAGAGGCCGAGGCCAAGCCAGGTCTTTTCAATCTCAAAACTATTTTCAGCCAAGCACATCTTGTATATAAGTTGTGTTATTAACAGAGGGGTGGACCTTCCTCAAGTTTTTCATAGTTACACAAGTCCTGGTATTGACAGAATATCCTCTGAAATGATAGAGCCAGTTTTTCTTCTAGTGTGAAGCCATACAACTCCTCTCATTTTGCTGGAATTAAATTTTCTTAGACCAGTTATGGATACGGCCCATGATTTTAGGCAACTAATTCTGAAACAGTAACAAGAAGCTTTGGAAGGAAAAGCCTGTTGTTACTGAACAGAGCATAACATCCACTTCCACGGCAACTTGCAATGCTCTATACATAACTGCATACTTGAATACAGAGAGATTTTACCATGATTCTAGATATCTGTAAAATGTCAAACCCCTCCTTTGTTATTCTGTGAAACCTTCATGGGCAAGCTGATTTGCATTATTCCCAAAACAGGGGCGTGCACATACACACATGGAAGAAAAGTAATGAAATACAGTCAATGGCATGAAAAAACACTTGTGAGTACTTCAAGGAAAAAAGAGGTTACATAAAGTTTACTCACTACACCGGGTTAACAACATTTTTCTACTACTAGGAGTAAACAGGTAGATAGATACCTAGAACCCTCATGGTTTCTCTCCTAAATCTAACCAACCTTTTGACTAGTTTCTTGTTCAGACAATACTTCACCAAAAGTGTTGAAGATTTCTAGACGAAATCTTCCCTGGGGCAGAGGGAAGAAGAGACATTTGATTACTAGTCACTGACGGGAATATCTTCCGCATAACCTCAAAAATAGAGTTGTAGAAGATCCATTGCAATCCTACTCTTTCTGGCAACACTTTTGCCACTCCTGACCTACAGCTGAAAGAGAATTTGGTCCTGCAAACACCTGCTCCCCTGACCAGCTACTCTCACATCTGCTTCGTGATCCTGCAGGAACAGTGTTAACCATACAAGGCCTTTCAGAAACCGACTTTTTTTGCTTAGTGACAGGTAACATCCTCATGTTTTTACATAAATAAGACATAAGCCATCTGTAGAGATTCTTAAAGAAACTATGACAATAATGGCTGAAGGAAAGCATGAGGAAACAGAAAGGAAAGAAGAGAGAGAACAGGGACACAGGTGGAGATGCAGTCTCTGACCTGGATCTGTTGCTGAAGAAGGTTAATTTTGTGTTGCTGCTGCAGGAGCTGCTGCTGTTGTCTTGCAATCTGTGGAGAAATTGCACAGAAGAAACATGAGATACATACCATCATTCCTGGAGTCAGTACATACCACCCTCCTTGGTTCTATTCTTGCTCTATTAAGCTAAGAAACCTTCATGAGTGGGTGGCAGCAGCGTGGACTGACGCTGAAGCAAGGGGCTCATGTTCAGGAGCCGTTCATAGCTAACACTAGTGTGAAAGGGAATCTTAAGGAAAATGCTGCGCTGGATATTAAGAGGAGCACTGATGCAAAAATCTCTCCTCTCCTTATCTGAAATTACACTGCTAAAATCCCCAAAAAGCGAGTGCTCGTTCACTCCAACTTGCTGAAGGAAGAACAATACTGGCAGAGAAACTGGAAAATAGTAGGAGAAGGCAGGAAAGGCAAAAAGTAGGATGGACAGTAATATTCTTTTTATGTTTGGCACCATCTATTCAAAAATTCCAAAAAAAGGAAATCTGACACCCAGGAGGAAGGTATTAGTGTGCCTATTTCCTTGATGCAGAAAAAGACACAAAGAGACTAGAACTGGGTTTGGGAAAATCACTGACTCTTCAATGTGTGTGTCAGCTGAAAGGAATTAAGAGGCAGTGCAAGGCTACACAGCTCAACGCTGAAACCGATTTAAAGAAGTTGATGGAGTAGTTGTAGTCTCCCCTTAAAGTCATATGAGTTTCCATAAGGCCTTCCACTCTCCCTCTCCATCGGCTAAATGATTGGGAACCTCACTATAGGTACATATTACATACAGTGAAAGAAAAAGTAGGCAGTAATGAAAGAAAAGGCAGGCAGTAGCAGAACCAAATCAGAGTTCTCAGAGGACTGATGGAGATAAACCATTATTACCTCAAACTTAAAAAACAAGCTTGAAAAATTTTCATTAGAGTCATCACAAAAGCTCTGGTCTCATGCACAGCTAGCACAGCAGTACAAACATTAGAAGGAGTATCGCTCTTCCCCCGTGGTATGTGTACACATCCCAGGGTCAGATGGGAACTTATACATACTTACTGGGAGGAATTTTGTGCATTCTTCCCCTCAGGTATTTCCTTTCATTTCCATTATTAAAGTATTAGCATAAGAAACACTCACTCATAGTTAACTTCACATCTAAAAGATTCAATAAGTGTTTTCTTTCTAGAGCCTCTCTTTTAAGCAACCAAAATATTTTTTATCAGACATTTTTTGAAAATTTAGTTATTTTAATTTCTATATAACACAGAATTATACACAATTTCTCAAATTAAAATAAATTCTTGTTATCCTAATAATAATCCTGCAGGATTTCTTACTGTATTTTTCCAGTCTCTCAATTTTCTTTTTCACTGTCAGATCATCCAGCCATCCTGTAGCAGTAGTGATTTTATAAGGTAGGACAAAGGAAATAGCTCCTGCAGGATGTCTCCTTGTGGAAGAACCTTGCCTATTTCACCTTCACACCTTCATCTACCTTCTCCATGTAAACAACAGCGTGTTATAAATTCTCTAGTTTAATAGGTAAGTCACTTAACCTGTTCTCCTCGTGGGATTTCAGGTGTGAGGCCAAAATACACAGTATTTAAGATAAGGTTTTTAAATAATCAAAAATATGGAAAACCAAGGCTAAAATACCTGAAGATGACAGCAGTGGTTTAGAATCTTAACACTTGTTTGGTACAATACAAACATTGAACTGTGACAACTATGGCAGATTTTTTCAAAGAGTTATGTGAGCTTCATAAAATTCACATAGCTGCAATTCTATGATATAAACTCAAACGTCATTACCAGCTGAAATAAATGGGCAGGCAGATCAAAACGCTTTCACATAAAAGGTAGCAGGATGGACTCCTGACAAAATTTTAAATCAGATGTCCAAGTGCTCTCTGCTCATGTTGAGGTACAACAATGGACATTCATTTCTGCTAAAATTTGCACAGTGCAAATCCGTTAGAAAAGTTGTGGTTTTGCATAAAATATCATGTCTCCATGTGCGCACGTTGGAACTGTTTACGTGTGAAAACATGTTTACATTTTCAGTGGAGGGCTATTTGCAAGAGCTGAAAATCAAGCCTCTCAAGCGTAGAAGAGAAAAAGTCACATTTGTTCACTGCCTTTATATTCTTCTCCCCTATTTTTTCGCACAGTTGGCAAAACCAACCTTTTCATTTGTCATATTACAATCCAAATGCCGCGTTTTGTTCCTTTTGTATCTATTCAGCATCACCGACTTCAAGCAACTTTGGAAGATTATTGAGGAGGGCTGAATTTGTATGCTTATGTACACTTTTTTTTTAATAAAAAAACATGATTGGATGATAGCACCTCCAAACTGGAAGGTGTATCTTTAAAAGACAAAGAGCACTCTTTTGCATATTGCAAATTAAAGCATTCTTCCAGTTTACGTTCAAACTTCTTCACCTAAGAAAACAAATGGGAAAAAATTCTGGGTGGAGAGCAAATGTGAGAAATATCAACCCTAAAAGATAAGCTACTGAAAAGTCCTCCTAGAAAATTATTTAAGCTGAAAGCCACTCTAATAATCACTCACCTGTTCTTGTTGCTGCTTAGCCAGCTCCATTTGTTGGCGTTGCTTCTCGATCTGTGATGCAGCCAGTTTCTTCTGTTCATCATGAGCTGCTAGCAGCTGTTCTCGCAAACTGGTCAGCTGATTGATCATACCCATGAGCTGCCTTTCTTTCTCAGCGAGGCTTTCTGGAGTCCCTGGGCATCATATGGTGGGGGGAAAAAAAGGTAAAGAGAAGAGAGGATATTTTAGAGCAAGCCAGGTTTTTATTTTGCAGCTTCACTGTAAGCAAAGTTTTAGCAGAACCAAAGAGCAGCAGCATATTGCAATATACTGCACGTTAAGACCAGTCCCTCTACAGAAAAATCAGCCATGGAGGATAATTCTGTACACAGGCTTCAATCTGGTGTCCCCCTTCAATGTCCCCTTGCCCTTTCATCTATTTTCCGTGGCCTTTTTACCAGATTAATAGGGGGAAAAATACTGCCTGCTTTGAAAGATTTTCAAATTTTAAACACAGCTTATGTTTTGTGGGGATCAAAATCAACACGTGCAGTTCCGAAAGACGATTAAATTTTTGTCAGAAACTTATGACAAAGACACACGGATGCTTTGACGCTTACAGGAGCTGTAAGGTGTGTATTAACATCCCCCTATAATCCAAGGGAAGCAGAGGAGTCTCCTGGGTGGTGGATACCTCTCCATCTCCCCATGCCCAGCTTTCTCACTGTCACCAGCACGGCACACAACAGCTGTCGGGACACTACCTGTTATATCATCTACAGCTGCACTGATCAGGATGAAATTCCATGGTATTTACATTGTCAGCAACTACTACTGCTGCTGCTGCTGCCACTGATGAGTATTTTAAAAGGGAAAAGTCTTGCATAAATGTATCAGAAAAACTGAGCTAAACGCAACTCACCATCTCTCGCGTTTGGACTGTCATAGATGTTTTTTATAGGACAGTTCAGCAGACACAGACAGAGGAACTGACTACCTCACTCTCATAATCATTCTGTAAAAATTCTCCTTCTACCCAGAAGGACAGTGGTTATAAGGGAAGGGAAGAAAAAATTCCAAGAAAAATCAAAAGCTATGAATCATACACTAAAACAAAAACCGGCACTATTAGTAAATCCAGTATCATTTGACTTTGAATTTAAAAGACCAGAAAATATGTGCAGCAGCTAATCCACAGATATCTCCAATAACACCACACCCTCTCACATGAGTCAGTTCCTATGAAAGCCTTTCTCAAAAAAGCTTTAGGAAAGGATTAAGGCTATCGGTGTCTATGCCTCCTCTGAAAATAGCCTGCTTTTGGGACAACCCTGCCACACAAACCTTTCTCAAACACAGGAAGCGTTCTTCTGCCAATGTCACCAGTGCTCTCCAAGTGAAAAAAAAAGAGAAAAATTGGCGACTATACTAAACATGTTCCTAGCCAACTATCAGTCAGACATGGAAAAGAGCTACTGGTAATAGCTCATTTAGTCTACCCCCCTGCCAGTGCAGGAATGTTCCCTGCAATATATTTACTACAGCTTTCTAGATTGGATTGTAATGTCTGAAATGGTGAATCGTCTACTGCTTTCTTTGGAAGATTGTACCATGGCCTTAGAGATGTCACTGTTAGGGCTCTTTGCGTGATAGTTTAATTTACATTCATTTAATTTCAACCTTGTGCTCCCAAGCAACATCTCAGTTGCTATGTTAGCCAAGTCTAAGCCCTGAAATACATTTGTAGACAGCCGTATACGATGGAGAAAATGCAAAGAATCAACGTTTTCACATAAAGGAAATGTAACGAGATTAACTTTTTATTAAGACGCGAGAGATTTATATGAAAATATTCTCATCATGCAACAAAGAAGTACAGCAGAATATTCTCAGTCACAGTCTCAAAAAAACTGTGGTTGAAGCTGGAACCACACACTGAAACAGAAACCATAGGACTTTAAACCTGTTCTGTTAAAAGCTGTGAGAAAAAATGGAAGCCAGCGCTAAAATACAAACACTGCTGAAGAAAACACTTTTAACTTAGGATTTTTATTTCCAACATTGGAGACAGAGAACTGCTACATGTAATGCATTTGCCACCTGGCCATACAATTAATCAGTCATGTCTACTGCCACTTCTCCATCCTTCATTTGTTTTTCCCTAGAAAAAAGGGGGCAGTGTTTCCGACTGGCACAGAATTATTCTAGAAGGCAGCCCCTTCCTTGTCCTATCCATGGCTAGCATGTTGGTTTACTGTAATGATCATCTAAGGACGACCGTCAGTATACTGATACTGGCAGTATAACACGCTGGGCGCACTGAAACATCTGAAAACTAAGCATTTTAATTATTTATTCAGTAGGTATTTTATTCCAAACCTGGTCAGTGTGCACAAGAGAGAGGGAGAAAGACCTAGAGAGAGAAGGAATACACAGGATTGGCTTAGTCCTGAAGTTAGGGTAAGCAGAAAGAAATGACTGTCAAATAAACTGTTTGACAAATACACTGACACACATCAAAGACCTTCAGCCACCACTGGTTCATCAGTGTATTTTGAGCTCCTACAGTAGCTTTCAGTTGGGAATCAAAAAGCACTTTGTAAAGTTAAATTAATCCCCGCCACACCTCTGAAAGGTGGAAAAATGTTTCCATATGTGTAAACTGCCAGACAGAGGGGTCACAGAGTTAGTTACCAGCAGAAAAAGCAGTGCCGATATCCAGCCCCGTGCTGCACAGCTCGGGCTGCGGTCCCCGAGAGCGCAGAACCCTCCGCGTGCTGCCGCCTCGACCGCGACACCGAACAACGGCACAGCCGCGGGGCCAGCCACCCGCTGCTGTTTCTTCTTTCATCTGATTTACCTAGAGAGGAGCAAAAAAAAGTCTTCCTCGGGATAACAGCAGCTTTATTTGAACTGCAGGAACGAGAAGAAAATCCAGATGAACTAAGAGCAAGCGGTCAAGATGACGAAGTGCCGGCGCAGACGCTGGAGTTGCCGGCACACCGCAGCCGTGCAGCCAGGGACGAGTCCGCTAAACTCCATGTCTTCATTATTACTCAGTTTTTAAAGAACCTTTGAGATGCCCAAAGGGGGTGCTTTAGGTACTAAGTAAGTACAACACACAGTTCCTTTGGTTTATAAACTGGAGTGGAAGTAGTCTGACAAAAGGCAGCCTTCTTGCACTGTATTTCCTGAGTAATTTCAGGTTGCTAATAAATGGAAAGGGAGAATATATCACTGCCAACTCTTTAAAAAAATTTTTTGTTGGAAAATACTTTCTGGAACACATGGCTTAGTAGGTGCCTCATTTTCATGTGATTAGCCCATCCTTCCAATAACTTCAATAATACTTAATTATAATTTCAATTCTCTAAGGTAGCATTCCTTGCAAAATAAGTACTTGGATAGCCACACTCCCAAGTGACCTGCGCAAAACCAGAGGCAAGAGAGATCAGCTGTGTGGGTCTACTGGGAGATGGTGAGTTTTGGGGTAGGTTTCCCCTTGCCTTACCCACATATCCAGATAAGCCCCACTCACAGAGAGTTTTGAGGTTTCTTGCAGACAAATGGTGGCTTATAGAAGTGTGAAAATCAAAATGAAGAAAAAGTACTTGAATCAGACTGTCTCGATCACAATGTAAAGTGTTTGCATTTAGTTTAAGTTTGTTGCCCTTTTCACATAGCACACTTTTTCTATAATTTCTTTCGTGGAAACGGCCAACAAAACTGCCATTTCACAGTTGCCATTCATAAATTACTCAGTTTGCATAAGAAATGAAGGCCAAACGACACGACTTATTGATACAAAGGTGAGCTGAGAGCAACAGCTTGGTCACTCTGTAAGTACATTCAGTGACAGGAATTTTTTTTGGTGTATTAAAATGCGCTGCAGAGTTAGAGCACCAGTTGCCATTTTTGTGTCCCTTTCTAGACACTGTAGACTGTGGGCAGTCAAGGATGGGCCTTCTGTCCTATCACCACTATTTTCTCTGTTAACCCACATGAGATCTAAACCTTGATCATCGTGTAAAGTGTCTCGGTAGCTAAGGGATTACCTATTTAAGAATTTTGTAGCTTACAGGGCAAAATGTGTTGATATTTTAAGTGACTACATCACCAGCCGCATAAAGACAGTTGCTTAAATCATGCCACTTGGGAATGAATGCATTATCCCCAAGGCTGCTAACACTGCCAGGAGTCAGGAGGTGGTGCAAACCTCGGCGAGGATAAGCCACCAGCCCCAGCAGCTACCTTCAGCCGCTCTGTTATTAAACTCCCTTGGAGCTGCCCCAAGTAGCACGGAGTTGGGAATGGTTCTGGGGCTGGCCTGTGCTCTACACACAGTATCTGTACGCTTGCAGTGCTTTCACTCTCGCCACGCAGCGTGGCTGGGAGAAAAAACGAGTGCCCATTATTGCAGTGTGTAACGACAGCTAGCTAGACCACTTCACGCAGGTATTGAGTGAGGAGCAAAAGGAGAGTGGCTTACATCAATGGCTGCCTCCAAAACTACTCTTAATTACTGTCAGATCCACAACAAATAGATATTGCACGGTTTATATTTAACAAAGCTTTTAACCATCGGACCACCTGCCTTTCAGGAGATTGCTGTAGGTGCTCATACTGTTCTCTGTACTCTATCACTGCAATGGCAAAACATGGATTTTTCGCAACTTATCAAAACAACTCAGGCAAGAGAGCGTCGAAGTAGTGACGCTGGCTGATATAGTGAACGGCTCAAGAAAAGATGCTTTCCAGATGTGACAGCTTATTCTCTATCACCACAAAAAGAGATTCGAAAGAAAAAAAAAACATGTCTGTGGATGCAACACCCACAGCAGATGGCAATAAAAGAAGACTCAAATTAGTGGCATTCCTTATCGCCAAACCTAAACTTCAGCTCAGATCAACACTATCCATAATAGTGTTTAAGTAGTAAAAGAAATTTACTCAAATGTGAAATAAACTATTACACATTCTTAGTTCTGATTCACAGTCTCAGACTGGCAGTGACAGTAACATTTTAATAAACATTAGAATGAAGACACCAATATGACCAAATGACACACTTAAAGTGAGAAAACGAACAGGAGAAACCTTGGCATATCCACCCAAAACAGAACCAAAGCAAAAAAAAAAAGGCAGAGAAACTGCTTTTGCGATCAAAACAGTAAATACTTTATTATAATTTATT